TAGGTAGGTAGGTAGGTAGGTAGGTAGGTAGGTAGGTAGGTAGGTAGGTAGGTAGGTAGGTAGGTAGGTAGGTAGGTAGGTAGGTAGGCAGGCAGGCTGGTTTGTCTTACTGTTGTTGAGTCCCTGGACTTTAACCTTGCTGAGGTCCAGAGGGGGGGCCACGATGATGCTGAATGGACTTCTAGGGATGGGGTCTCCTCCGTGGCACACAGTGATGGACATGTTCCCCTGAGAGACACACAAGCTGCAGTTATCTGGGGTGTATCAGTCAGAATAAACACAACCCTGATCTTCTTGGGGTAGGAGTTACCTGCTGCACTGCGGTGTAGCGGATCGTGTATGAGTAGTCGTGGTTGTCGATAATCTCAAAGTCACGAACAGCTTCGCCTTTAGCTGCTCCAATAAAATGGACCTCTGGTTTGGCTTTACCGGCCCCTTTGGTGTAAATGGTGAAGTGTGTGGGCTTTCCAACCTCCACACCTGCCCAGGTGAGAAAACATGGAGTATCACTAACTGAGATTTAGGCCTGATTGAGGAAAGAAATGGGTCCTCCTGCCTGTTGCTTTATGTATCTTTATAATTCCTTGACAGGTTCCCAAAGAGCGGTTATGTGGAGTAACTTCCTGCTTTAAAAATCATTGTCTGATGAGTTAAAGGTACAGAGGACGTTTTTTTACTTCCGAGTGGATGTTCCTTATTGTCCCAAGTGGTCCTCCTAATTGTCAATCATTCTGGCGATATGTTTACGTAAGGCCATCCTACATGCTATGTTCCGTTAGCTATCATTTTATGCGCATGCGCACTTTCAGCCGTTTATCTGTGGTGAGCTACGGTTTCAGACAGTCATTGAAGCTCACATTTCTCACCGCCGTTCTCTAAAAAATGGTCAAGGGTCATAAGAGAAAAAGTGTCTACGAAGTGTATGAGAAGAAAAGCCTAAAGAAGAGGCAGATATATCCCAGAATGCTTTGCACGAAGACCTCACCAAGCAAAGCATTATGGGATTTACTGTCACAGCGGCCTGGCAGGCATCGCGCAGGTAAGAAGGAGTTACATGAGCAATGGAGAAAAAAGCAGTGATCATCTGTCTGAATGGTAAGTTAACTGAGTTCGCTATAAAGTCCACCATATAGGCGCCTCTCTATATAGTGATTTAGGGATTTAGGGGTTAGGGCGGACGTTCGGACACAGTAAGCTTGTATGAACTATGAGAACGGCAACTTTTAAACAGAGCGTGGACGAGGAGAAATGGTTCATATGAAACAGACTCACCAGTCCTGTTGAGTCCAGGGCCCTCTGCTCTGACCTTGGCTGCATCATGAGAGGGATCCACCTTGATTCTGAATGGACTGATGGGAATTTCCTGTGTTCAACATTCATTGAAGAGGTTTGATGGTTAAACCCTCAACACAACATTTATTTAGAGGCTATTTAGTTGCTGCTGTTCTCACCTGATCAGCGAACAGCACCATGATGGTGTATTGACCAGGACCCGGAGGCATGTACTTCACTGTGAAAGTGTCATTGTCATTCTTGATAATGTCGAAGTCAATGTCTGCCTCTGCCGGTCCGACCACACCAGGAGCACACTTGATCCCGATGCTGACATCACCTGACAGGAAAAGAGATTGTTTGGACCATTCAGATCAACACATAATCAGCGGTTCTATTCCTGATAAATCAGAACATCTTGTGGTTAATGTGTTTTCAATTTGTAGAAAATGTCCACATTGCTTAATTAAGAAGAGAGAAAAGAAATGCAGACCACACTCAAAGATTAGACTCTCAGAAACACAGGATTTTAATTGGCAGAGATCCGACACACCTAAACATTTTCTTCTACACATCTTGGATCAATGAAGGTAATTGAAATTTCCTGGAAAATCTGTGTTCCCTGGATAAGATTTGCAGATAATGCAGCCAGGCAGCATAATGTTCCGCACATGTTGAAGGCAAGAGGTGAAGCAGGGGAAAGGACATGAACTGTGTGGGATTTGGACCATGCCTCACCTTGTCCAGCCTCACTGCAGTCCACAGTGAAGTATGTCGGCTCATTGGCCTTAAGGCCTGTCTTCTCCACACCTGGACCGTAGACCTTCACGTTCTCTGGATGGCTGCCCTCTCCGATTATCACCTAATCAGCAACATGCCAACAATCATTTAGACTGGAAACATTCAAACATTTATCACAGACCAAAGGGAAAACATTCCTGCTTGATTTGAGGTTAAATGTGGCTTTAGAACTGCTTTATGTTCCAAACAACTAACTGAAAACTGTTATTGAAGGATTTCTTACCCTAAAGGGGCTGTTGGGAACATTAACTTCACCCCAGGTGATAATGATGGTGTGTTTGATGGGTTTGGTGGGAATGTAAACACAAAAGTAGGTGCAGTCTCCGTTATCTGTGATTTGGATGTCGATGGGGAAACCGTCTGCATCCTGGTGAGAAACCCAATAATTTACTGTTTCTCCACTACAGCAATAAAGGAAAGCTTCATCAAAACTTAAGGAAACTTTTAGTTCCCACCTGAGCGTAGAGCCTCAGCTCTCCTCTGCCAGCTTCACTCGTATCAATGGTAAAGTCAGCTGGTTTGTTGACAATACAACCCAGAGGCTCCAGACCAGGACCGAAACATTTCACCTAATGAACAGAGAGAAAACTCCACTATACAACCTGTTTTAGAGTCAAATACCTCAGAAACCCAGAAATGTTCTGCCCAGACCTTCTCAGGAAACAAATCAATGGCTCCAGGGAGGATGTGGGCCATGAAGGGACTGTCCTTAATGTCCTCATCATCACATATGACATGGACGGCATAGTCTCCTGGTTCAGTGGGCCAGTATCGAACATCACAGGATCCGTCACCTTTATCGTCACACTCGATTTTAGCCTGAGAGGGCCCCTCGATGGAGAAACCTGCACACAGATAACAAAAGAGCCTGAAATTTGGTCTATGGCAGTTCAGCAGAGGTCTGCATTTGTAGAGTTTGATAATGCAAGTCCTTTATGACGGTTGCTCCAGCTCCAGAGATTTCAGCTATCACTCTAC